ATAAATGCAAAAGATATAAAAATTATTTAAAAATCAAAAAATTTTATAAACTTGTATTAGACAGAGATTTATGTTTCTGGCGGTTGCCCGTTAATTGAAAATAATATTAGCCTGTTGGTCTGAAATGCACATTGAAGGTGTTTTCTCGGGGTCAGACACATTAATGAGTCCTGCCGCCACAGGCTGTGGGCAAGTGGAAGTGGCCCAGGAGCCGGAATGTTCCCAAATGTCATAACAACATTTCATAACCACATCTCTCTTCCAAACTGAGGTGTGATCAGTTATACCACTGCAGAATTATAAACCGCCATGCTGAAAAGAGACATTTTTTTTGTCTTTGCCTTCATTTCTCTTTATTTCTACGATTAGCAAACGTTTCTTTCTTAATCCATGGTAGCTTACGTACCTTACGAGTTGGATGAAGAGCATATAACTGAATTTTACAGGGGAGTCTTGAATATGTCAGCCTCTGTAAGCGATCACCATTAATGGTGCCGGCCAACTAGCATATCACTCTTTCCGAACCAGAAGTGGGATCTTGAAACCAGACTCCTTTTATATCGTCAGATTAAATGAAAGAAGTGATTTGTAGATCCCTGTTTCAGGCAATTCGATCAGGATCATTCGTCATAACTACAGTATATGTGTATATATAATAGTAAATATTTTTTATTTATGCTCAGTAAACTATGAATTTTCCAGTAAATTACTAGAAAATTCTATATTTGCCTGGTACAGTTATTAAGATTGTTTCCACAAAATAGAAGATCAGAATCTCATAATCAGAAGCCTAGGGCATAGGGTACCTGTAGATGCATGAAGATCTGCTCTGACTTAAGAATATTCATAATATAATCAAACATGCTCAGTTATAATCTCTTTCTGAAGTATCGTTGCTGTCGATTTGTTACAAGACTTTTTAAAGGGTGAATTTCAAAGCGTCAGATTGTGATCTAGGCCAGGAAATGATCTAATTGTTATTATTATTTTGCTCTTGGATTTGTCCAAATCCAGCCGCGTTAGTACACAGTGAAATGGTGTGAGATGATTTCACTTTGTAAAGATTTAGGTTACCTTGCCAGCGGCACTTCCCTCAGAGAGGATGTTGAAACTTTTTCCTTTTTCAGCCTTCCATGCCCGAAGGGCGAACTTTATTCGTCTGAGGAAATCGATTTAGCTGATGAAGCCCTTCGCCATTCGATGGGAATGATATTTCAGAGCAGAGGGAGTGTTTGGTCTTTCTGTTGTTGTTTATAAGGAGCTTCACGAATTTCCACAATTTCAAGCTTAGAGATTTGCTCATATTGACGTTGATGTCAAGTGAGAAAGATGCTGGAGACCTGCTTCCTCTCCAGAGCACCTGTGCAAGGGCACCTTAATCACAAATATGTGGTCGTTGCCTTACTTCAAGTGAATGCCCAACATGGTTGGTGACAGACTCTTCCTCATGCATTGTGGCTGGATGGACACTGACTTCTGTTACACTATATGTGTTTAACTTCATTAATCCTCTCGCAGCCCTGGTGCTCATTGATCAGAGGGAAGGCTGAGGTAACAGCCAGACCTCTATCAACGGAGGGTGCAACCATCTGTTCCCAGGATGACTAACTGACCAGTGGAGAAGTAGATTTGTTTCGTATCAACCTGAGCATTTTATCAAAACGAGTATCACATCACTGCTGGCAAAGACTTACATACAACAATCTGTTACTGTATTTTTCAAAATGCGTTATGCGGGCATAAATGCAGACCTGTGCCTTTTCCAGGACTTGCAGAGACTTCTTTGGATTCAGAAGGTAACCAAAATGTTAAAGCTCCCTATTAAAAGAAACTGCCTTTTTTGTCAAATTAATAGTCAGGAAGAGTGTAGTGTTTTCCTCATATCTGGTCCTGGTCAGAAGATTTCTCTAAATGCAAAAAGTGTGGCATAACAGCGAGTGATGTCAATGAGGAATTCTTATTAATTTTGTGTCCTGGCATCATACAGTAAACAGAATCTATGGAAGAAGTCACCCCATGTGCTTAGTCATTCTTTACGCTTATTAATGAGACACCGTTACGCATCAAACATTGCAAATGAAGCCTTAATGGAAGCTTTTGAATGATGGCGTTTTGCTGCCCTGTGAATTGTGTCATTCATAGAAAATGTTTTGCCCTGAAAGGAAAACAAATAAAAACATTCCTGAAAAAAAAATCCTGAAATTAATATTTTGCACAAGAAGGATTCCAGGATTCCTGCCTAAGTTAACATTAAGGGGAAACTGCTTTGAAAGTATCTGGGTACTGACAGAAGCTCTGTGGAAGAAGAAAAAAATGTAGTTTTTATTTCTGTAGTAATTAGGGGGTTTTGCATGTGGTTTGAAATACTTTTGATCTTTTTGATTTATTTAGTTTTACTTGTCTTAAAATGATAGTTATAACCATGTTTATTTACTTCTATGGTCACAGGGACCATTGAAATCCTGACCAGTTTATCTTATTTTCACTCTTCAACATGGAACGGTGTTGCACTGAAAATATTTTATATTAGCTAAAAATATAATACCTAAGTAGTAAGTAAATAAAACTGCACATGCATATATTGAACTAAAGTAAGTTTTTCCTCAACTAATGAAGAGCCCAATAATTTTTGCCATAATGCCAGTGTCACCAGTAACCCGTCTCCCTCTCCCTTACTGTTTTGCTGAGTCAAATAAAGTCGCATTCGGACCATGTTCACCTCCTTCATGGCTTCTCACTATGTGCTCCAGGTGAAGTACATGTTAATTCTGCAGCCTGCCTTCAGCAATACTTACCTTTGTATTTATATACTATATATAAATGATGACTACAGTTCTTGCTTTGCCTGGCTGATTTGTTTCTAAGGAGAAGTAGAGGTGATCCTACTGAAGGTATTCTGCCTAAGATGACATGAGGACTTTTATTCATAAGGCATTTAAGGATTAGGTAAGCTAGTGCAAAGTCTAGCCTAAAACGTAAATAATTTAGGTGGGCATCATTTATACATAGTATATTACTATAAATCATAAATCATATTAATACAAAGCTTCATATAGATGTCTCTGTTAAACACTGAATCAAATTGAATAGTTTTTTTTGTTTCAGATAACTGTAAAACCCAAATTTTTCATAGAAAGACAGTGCATTTAATGATGTTCCTTTTTTATGAAGGGGGACCTTGACTTTGAATGAATGAACCGGAGATACATGTATATGCTGCTTTTCAAGACACCCAAAGCACTTTACAGAGGCAATGAGGAGCCACTTCAACCCCCACCACTGTGTAGCCCCCACCTGGATGATGCAGCAGCAGCCATTCTGCAGCAGTACGCTCACCACACAGTAGCTAAGGTGGTGAAGGGGCAGGAGAGAATTCACCAATCAGATACAGGGATGATTAGAAGGCTAGATCTGATAGGGCCACAGTGGGCAGTTTTAACCAGGAGATCAGGGTGCCAAACCCCAGTTCTTTAACACATGCTGCTTATTGAAACACTGGTCTTTGACTCTGATAAATTCCCAGATTTGGGAATGCATGCCAGATTCCTTGTAAAATCTCATCCTGCCCCCCAGGGGTCAAGGGTCAGAAGGCTGTGATGTACAGTCACTCAGTACCTCTCCAGGTCATTACTGTCCACACAGTTCACTCTGGCTTCATGGGGTCGCCTTCCAGAAGCAATTTCTCAGTATATCGGTGTCTGAGGCTAAATTGCTGTCAAGCAAACCCATCTGACCATGTCACTGCATGGATAATTTTATACTTTTCTGTTACGCTTCCATATGGAGTCTATCATCTAGTCTCTCTGTGATGATTATTGATCAGTGATCATTAACTTCAATTTGGCTTTTTACTAGGCTCTCCTTTTATTTCTGTACAGATAAACTGCACTTTCTGACAAATGTATTGAGGAGGGTGTTATATAAAACAAAATAATTCAATTGAAGTGAATAACACACATTCATACTGCTTATTTTTCATTCTTTTTTATATCATTGCCGTTTACCTTTTCAGGCAGACCAATCCTGGCTTTTGGGCCCAGTCATTAATCAAAATGCTGTTTCTGTACATTTAATGTTATAACAAATAAATTATAATACTAATATTTATATCAAGAAACTAATTCAGAAATGATCTTCTGTTCCATTTCTGAGATTTATGACTTGATATACACCTTTAATACTTGTTCTTTTGTTTCCAGCCATGTTTCAAAATTCAGCTTTAGGATTTATACTAATAGTGCCACTATGTCACAGTTTTAATGGCTCTCATAAGGTCACCCCATATGACTGGCACTGTACAAACAGCCAAAGGTCACCCCATATGACTGGCACTGTACAAACAGCCAAAGGTCACCCCATATGACTGGCACTGTACAAACAGCCAAAGGTCACCCTGGGCGACTGGCACCATACGAACAACCAAAGGTCACTCTGGGCGACTGGCACTGTGCGAACAGTTAAAGGTCACCCTGGGAGACTGGCACTGTGTGAACAGTTAAAGGTCACCCTGAGTCACTGGCACTGTGCGCACAGTTAAAGGTCACCCTGAGTTATGACTTAGACAGTGTGACTTGGCACTTAGCCATCTCTCCGATTTGACTCTCCCTGCTGGCCCCTGGAGAATGGACTCCTCCTTTGAGTCTGGTCCCTCCCAAAGTTTCTTCCTTCTAGGGAGTTTTTCCTTGCCACTGTCACCTATGGCTTACTCACTGGGGGCTTTGGGTGGGGATGCTGTAAAGCACTTTGAGACAATGTAATGTTGTGATAACGCGCTATACAAAAATAAATTTGTTGTTGTTGTAAAGGTCACCCCATATGACTGGCACCATATGAACAATTAAAGGTCACCCCATGTGACTGGCACCGTACGAACAGCCAAAGGTCACCCCATGTGACCATGTCACAGTTCAAAAAAGGAACAGTATCTCCGTGTTTTTTTCATTACAAAAATACATGAACATAGTGATAACTGGCGTTATTTACATTTTAATCATTTTCAGATCTCCTCGTCTTCCTTCCCGGTGGTGGTGAAGATGGGCCATGCGCACGCCGGCATCGGCAAGGTAAGACCCCGAAGCCAAGGCGTGCCCCAATGATGTCACTCCCCCACCTCCTGGGTTCGAGCAGCAGGCACAGCATGCATGACCTCAGCCCTGGACGGCTGCCGAACCGTGACATCACTCTCTGTACAAGCTGGGCGTGAGGATACCGACGAGATATCACAGTAAACACAGCATCGGGTGCATGTCACCGCACGCCCCCCCGCCCTCAAATCATGTAGGCTCCAAGGGGGGGTGTGGAGCACACCAGAAGAGCAAGCAAAGTATTCTTAGCCATTTCATATTTTAATATTCCCTGATTTATGTCTGTGATCTACAGGCATTGTACAGATAAATATATCCTCCACTTGATTTATTGGTGGGCAGCAAGCTTTGATTGTTCATCGCAGTGATAGTGTTGGTGGACAGATGTACAGATTAACAAAAACAGCGCTGACTTCTGCCACAGCGCCCTGATTCGGATCTAGATACGATTGGCCCCCAGTTTGTTTGGGTAAGAGGCTACGGGCTGTGGAGGTGCGGAGGTGGAGGTCGTCCACAGGCCCCCAGGAACAGCAGGCTTTACACAAACAAACGGGTGGGAAAGCCTGAGCGCTTTTGAAGTAGAGAGCCAGCGGAAACTGAACCAACCCGAGTCTTTATTAGGTATTTGGGGGGGGGGCAGAGGAAAGGGGAGAACCGCATCATTCTGAATAAACAAGTGAAGAAATTAAATCTAAAGACCACCCGCACACAGAGAAGCCATATCAAATGAGACAGATGTATACATAAATGCACAATCACCCAACTCGATTGGATGATCGATTCAAATCATGTACCATTTATTGCCATCAGAGCTATATAACAGGTACATAGTGAGATGAAATTTCGTACCTTCTGGTCCCTGGTGTAACATGCAGAAAACAAACAGGTCATGTGTAACAGACAGCATAAGGTGCAGTGATGGACAACATCATTTACAACATATAGTGTAATAGATAAGTGGAAAACAGTGGGAATAAACCTGGGTACATATAGTAAATACTCAGACTCTGTGGCACAAGGTTCTGTGGATTTTCATCCAGCTTTACTGAATCACACTTTGGCTGTTATTAGCACTGTAGGGTCACAGGTTGGGGGTTCATATCCCACATGCCACGCCCATGTGGCTCTCTTCTGGCCACTCAGTGGTTCAAAAATCAAGAGGGTTTTTTTTTTTTTTAGAATTTTTTTTAAATGTAATTTTCTGTGCCTGTCCTGTGAGGGACTAGCATCATGTCCAAGGTGTCCCCTGCCTTGTCCTTCGTGCGTCCTGGGCTCGAGGCTCTCTTTGACCTTTCTCCTGAATAGTGGTTATGGAGGATGGATGTATTTTCTCCTCTAAATTAGGAGATACTGTAACAGATCACCACTTGGTAATTGGGTAACAAGTTCCAGACCTGTATAAATGTAACTTCCTAAGTAGCACATAAGGATTATACCTTCAGATGCTAAATGATACTTAATTCTTTCAACTGTTTTTTACAGTGCTTGAGAATTTTATAGCAAAGGGCCAAGGCAAATATTTTTGTATGACTTCTGTGCTCTGATTTGATTTACAATTAGGTTTTTTGAGAGTTTATGGACGCATATAAATACAGGCAAGAAGAAAATCATTGACGCAGTTTCAGGATTTAAAGCAGCACAGATCAATCTGTGTGTATAATTCTGGTAGAATGTGTTTAACGCACAAAGAACATGACTTTGTGTAACTCATGACGTTCTTTCAAAGCTTAAGAATTGCATTTTTATAATTGTGTCTGGGGCCAAGCATTAATTTTCCTGCTTCTAATCCAGTTTAGGACAATGCTTCAAAGACGAACTGTGCTGTCTCATTTCCTGTTCGTGATCCTTTTTGTGTCACTGTCAAAGCGAACACAAATAGCGTTTTAATAGTTCCCTAAACTAATAGTGCATTAGAATTTCTCCAGCCTCTTTCTCAAATTTCCACGCCAGATCAAAGTCGAGAACCGTGAGGACTTCCAGGACGTAACCAGTGTGGTGGCATTGGCGAGAACGTACGCGACCACCGAGTCCTATGTCGACTCCAAGTATGACATCAGGATCCAGAAGATCGGCACCAATTACAAGGCCTACATGTAAGGATCAAATGGCTGCTATTTCAGCGTCTGTCCCTTGAACTCGACACAGCTGTGTGAAAGCATAACAGTTTGCAGAGTGGAATAAAAGGGGGCTGCACACATCAGTTAGTCATCTGGGTTGAACCCCCAGTCCCCCACCCAGGCCCATTTTAATTTAGCCGAATATCTGTTCGACTCATCAAATCCACTTTGCCCTTATCTTGATTCTCTGGAAATGAATGAAGCCACAATTTTTCCTCTAATACAAAAGAAAGTTGAGTGCATACATACTTAGTGGTCACTTTATTAATTCACTAGTACCTGGTAGGACCCAATTTTCCTGCAGAACCTCTGTTAGGGTTGACAAGTTCTGCATTCAGAGAAGCTATTTTGCGCACCACTACTTAGACATTGTTCTTGCACTAGTGACCTTCCTGTTAGCTCTGACGAAGCCGACCACTCTTCTCTGATGATGTCACACCATCCCCTGTAAACTCCTGACACTCTTGTGTGTGAAAATCTCAGGAGGGTGGCTGTTTCTGGGATACTGGAGCCATCATGCTTGACTCCAATAATCACACAACAACCAAAATCCTTCAAAATAGGTGGCGTAGCTATCATAGTGCTTACGAAAACAATATGTGAACCTCTGTAGCCCACCTGCATGCTGTGGTTGTTTAGTTGCTACCACATAATGGCACCAAACACATGTTCGGAGGATTTTCTGTTAAGAAACGGGTGGGGCAGTGGTGGCCTAATGGTTAGGGAAGCCTGTGTGTGACTGGAAGGTTGTTGGTTCAAGTCCCTGACCACTGAGGTACCCCAAGCACAATACTGCCCCCATGTCCCTGGGAGCTAAATAATAGTTACCCCCTTCTATGTCACATATGGGTTAAATGCAGAGGACACATTTTGCTGTGGTGTCAAAAATGACAATTAAGCACTTTCACTGTTACCTAACAAACTTACCACTGAGTGTATAATTGGACTGAACATGTATTTTTGTTACATGTAACTTTTTTTTTGACCATGTTTGAAGAGTCTCATCCCACTTGATAAAATGTAACGTTTCTCATCAGTGTTGATTAACTCACTACAGAAGCTTCCCCAGCCCTGCCTGAATTGGTTCGAATCCCTTACGTACTATTCCCATAATTGATCGTTAAAATAATGTACAGTGTCTGATCACTTATCGCAGCTTAAGCAAAAGCTGTGTTGACCTGCATGTTGCCCCACCTTCAAACGATGTGAGGTGGACATTCACCAGGTACGCTTAAACTTGGCGAATGCGAACAGTTGGTTTTCATCACGAGATGAAGTTGCTTTGGATTGCTTTCTTTGGGTTGCCTCCTAAAATGCGTATCTATCAGACAAGATTAAGCTGCAGTTAGGGCCTTGGCTACATTGAGATTGTATATCAGCTACGATTAGACTGGGCACCGAGCTGAAGAACCAACGTAACATTACTCACTGTTCCTGGACTCTTTCCTTCATTATCTTGGTTCTGGTAAAAATAACAGCAGAGAGTAATACTCTGTTTCCAATCACCATGATTAAATATATATATATATATATATATAAAAGTTATGGACTGTCGGAGATTCAGATATGTGTACAATTAACATTGTGATCCTCAACTGGATGAGCAGAGAAGAAGATGCGCAGAAAGGACCTTTAGCAGAAAAGAAGGATCATTCTGTAAAGTTTTTCTACTGGTTAGATTTTTAAACATTTCTCATGCCTTTTTCAGGAGAACGTCCATCTCTGGCAACTGGAAAGCCAACACGGGCTCCGCCATGCTGGAGCAGATAGCGATGACAGACAGGTCAGCGATGCCATCGTCTGCCACAGGAGCAGTTCAGTCCGTTTTAAGGCCATACTGCAGTGTCTATTCTCAGGCTTCACCTTTTCGTGGATTATCACTAAATGAATCTTACTTAAGGATTGTAATTTTTTTATTGGACCCACAATTTTCAACATCCCAATAAATATATATTTAATACTTTTCTTCTTTGAGTTCCATAGAAAATGGNTTCCTTCTAGGGAGTTTTTCCTTGCCACTGTCACCTATGGCTTACTCACTGGGGGCTTTGGGTGGGGATGCTGTAAAGCACTTTGAGACAATGTAATGTTGTGATAACGCGCTATACAAAAATAAATTTGTTGTTGTTGTAAAGGTCACCCCATATGACTGGCACCATATGAACAATTAAAGGTCACCCCATGTGACTGGCACCGTACGAACAGCCAAAGGTCACCCCATGTGACCATGTCACAGTTCAAAAAAGGAACAGTATCTCCGTGTTTTTTTCATTACAAAAATACATGAACATAGTGATAACTGGCGTTATTTACATTTTAATCATTTTCAGATCTCCTCGTCTTCCTTCCCGGTGGTGGTGAAGATGGGCCATGCGCACGCCGGCATCGGCAAGGTAAGACCCCGAAGCCAAGGCGTGCCCCAATGATGTCACTCCCCCACCTCCTGGGTTCGAGCAGCAGGCACAGCATGCATGACCTCAGCCCTGGACGGCTGCCGAACCGTGACATCACTCTCTGTACAAGCTGGGCGTGAGGATACCGACGAGATATCACAGTAAACACAGCATCGGGTGCATGTCACCGCACGCCCCCCCGCCCTCAAATCATGTAGGCTCCAAGGGGGGGTGTGGAGCACACCAGAAGAGCAAGCAAAGTATTCTTAGCCATTTCATATTTTAATATTCCCTGATTTATGTCTGTGATCTACAGGCATTGTACAGATAAATATATCCTCCACTTGATTTATTGGTGGGCAGCAAGCTTTGATTGTTCATCGCAGTGATAGTGTTGGTGGACAGATGTACAGATTAACAAAAACAGCGCTGACTTCTGCCACAGCGCCCTGATTCGGATCTAGATACGATTGGCCCCCAGTTTGTTTGGGTAAGAGGCTACGGGCTGTGGAGGTGCGGAGGTGGAGGTCGTCCACAGGCCCCCAGGAACAGCAGGCTTTACACAAACAAACGGGTGGGAAAGCCTGAGCGCTTTTGAAGTAGAGAGCCAGCGGAAACTGAACCAACCCGAGTCTTTATTAGGTATTTGGGGGGGGGGCAGAGGAAAGGGGAGAACCGCATCATTCTGAATAAACAAGTGAAGAAATTAAATCTAAAGACCACCCGCACACAGAGAAGCCATATCAAATGAGACAGATGTATACATAAATGCACAATCACCCAACTCGATTGGATGATCGATTCAAATCATGTACCATTTATTGCCATCAGAGCTATATAACAGGTACATAGTGAGATGAAATTTCGTACCTTCTGGTCCCTGGTGTAACATGCAGAAAACAAACAGGTCATGTGTAACAGACAGCATAAGGTGCAGTGATGGACAACATCATTTACAACATATAGTGTAATAGATAAGTGGAAAACAGTGGGAATAAACCTGGGTACATATAGTAAATACTCAGACTCTGTGGCACAAGGTTCTGTGGATTTTCATCCAGCTTTACTGAATCACACTTTGGCTGTTATTAGCACTGTAGGGTCACAGGTTGGGGGTTCATATCCCACATGCCACGCCCATGTGGCTCTCTTCTGGCCACTCAGTGGTTCAAAAATCAAGAGGGTTTTTTTTTTTTTTAGAATTTTTTTTAAATGTAATTTTCTGTGCCTGTCCTGTGAGGGACTAGCATCATGTCCAAGGTGTCCCCTGCCTTGTCCTTCGTGCGTCCTGGGCTCGAGGCTCTCTTTGACCTTTCTCCTGAATAGTGGTTATGGAGGATGGATGTATTTTCTCCTCTAAATTAGGAGATACTGTAACAGATCACCACTTGGTAATTGGGTAACAAGTTCCAGACCTGTATAAATGTAACTTCCTAAGTAGCACATAAGGATTATACCTTCAGATGCTAAATGATACTTAATTCTTTCAACTGTTTTTTACAGTGCTTGAGAATTTTATAGCAAAGGGCCAAGGCAAATATTTTTGTATGACTTCTGTGCTCTGATTTGATTTACAATTAGGTTTTTTGAGAGTTTATGGACGCATATAAATACAGGCAAGAAGAAAATCATTGACGCAGTTTCAGGATTTAAAGCAGCACAGATCAATCTGTGTGTATAATTCTGGTAGAATGTGTTTAACGCACAAAGAACATGACTTTGTGTAACTCATGACGTTCTTTCAAAGCTTAAGAATTGCATTTTTATAATTGTGTCTGGGGCCAAGCATTAATTTTCCTGCTTCTAATCCAGTTTAGGACAATGCTTCAAAGACGAACTGTGCTGTCTCATTTCCTGTTCGTGATCCTTTTTGTGTCACTGTCAAAGCGAACACAAATAGCGTTTTAATAGTTCCCTAAACTAATAGTGCATTAGAATTTCTCCAGCCTCTTTCTCAAATTTCCACGCCAGATCAAAGTCGAGAACCGTGAGGACTTCCAGGACGTAACCAGTGTGGTGGCATTGGCGAGAACGTACGCGACCACCGAGTCCTATGTCGACTCCAAGTATGACATCAGGATCCAGAAGATCGGCACCAATTACAAGGCCTACATGTAAGGATCAAATGGCTGCTATTTCAGCGTCTGTCCCTTGAACTCGACACAGCTGTGTGAAAGCATAACAGTTTGCAGAGTGGAATAAAAGGGGGCTGCACACATCAGTTAGTCATCTGGGTTGAACCCCCAGTCCCCCACCCAGGCCCATTTTAATTTAGCCGAATATCTGTTCGACTCATCAAATCCACTTTGCCCTTATCTTGATTCTCTGGAAATGAATGAAGCCACAATTTTTCCTCTAATACAAAAGAAAGTTGAGTGCATACATACTTAGTGGTCACTTTATTAATTCACTAGTACCTGGTAGGACCCAATTTTCCTGCAGAACCTCTGTTAGGGTTGACAAGTTCTGCATTCAGAGAAGCTATTTTGCGCACCACTACTTAGACATTGTTCTTGCACTAGTGACCTTCCTGTTAGCTCTGACGAAGCCGACCACTCTTCTCTGATGATGTCACACCATCCCCTGTAAACTCCTGACACTCTTGTGTGTGAAAATCTCAGGAGGGTGGCTGTTTCTGGGATACTGGAGCCATCATGCTTGACTCCAATAATCACACAACAACCAAAATCCTTCAAAATAGGTGGCGTAGCTATCATAGTGCTTACGAAAACAATATGTGAACCTCTGTAGCCCACCTGCATGCTGTGGTTGTTTAGTTGCTACCACATAATGGCACCAAACACATGTTCGGAGGATTTTCTGTTAAGAAACGGGTGGGGCAGTGGTGGCCTAATGGTTAGGGAAGCCTGTGTGTGACTGGAAGGTTGTTGGTTCAAGTCCCTGACCACTGAGGTACCCCAAGCACAATACTGCCCCCATGTCCCTGGGAGCTAAATAATAGTTACCCCCTTCTATGTCACATATGGGTTAAATGCAGAGGACACATTTTGCTGTGGTGTCAAAAATGACAATTAAGCACTTTCACTGTTACCTAACAAACTTACCACTGAGTGTATAATTGGACTGAACATGTATTTTTGTTACATGTAACTTTTTTTTTGACCATGTTTGAAGAGTCTCATCCCACTTGATAAAATGTAACGTTTCTCATCAGTGTTGATTAACTCACTACAGAAGCTTCCCCAGCCCTGCCTGAATTGGTTCGAATCCCTTACGTACTATTCCCATAATTGATCGTTAAAATAATGTACAGTGTCTGATCACTTATCGCAGCTTAAGCAAAAGCTGTGTTGACCTGCATGTTGCCCCACCTTCAAACGATGTGAGGTGGACATTCACCAGGTACGCTTAAACTTGGCGAATGCGAACAGTTGGTTTTCATCACGAGATGAAGTTGCTTTGGATTGCTTTCTTTGGGTTGCCTCCTAAAATGCGTATCTATCAGACAAGATTAAGCTGCAGTTAGGGCCTTGGCTACATTGAGATTGTATATCAGCTACGATTAGACTGGGCACCGAGCTGAAGAACCAACGTAACATTACTCACTGTTCCTGGACTCTTTCCTTCATTATCTTGGTTCTGGTAAAAATAACAGCAGAGAGTAATACTCTGTTTCCAATCACCATGATTAAATATATATATATATATATATATAAAAGTTATGGACTGTCGGAGATTCAGATATGTGTACAATTAACATTGTGATCCTCAACTGGATGAGCAGAGAAGAAGATGCGCAGAAAGGACCTTTAGCAGAAAAGAAGGATCATTCTGTAAAGTTTTTCTACTGGTTAGATTTTTAAACATTTCTCATGCCTTTTTCAGGAGAACGTCCATCTCTGGCAACTGGAAAGCCAACACGGGCTCCGCCATGCTGGAGCAGATAGCGATGACAGACAGGTCAGCGATGCCATCGTCTGCCACAGGAGCAGTTCAGTCCGTTTTAAGGCCATACTGCAGTGTCTATTCTCAGGCTTCACCTTTTCGTGGATTATTTCTACATATTTCTTCATTAAGGATTGTAATTTTTTTATTGGACCCACAATTTTCAACATCCCAATAAATATATATTTAATACTTTTCTTCTTTGAGTTCCATAGAAAATGGGCATTGCTAGTACTACAACAAATATTTGAACAATTTGAATATAAAAATGATTTAAGAAGACAAACCCGCGTTTTAGTAATTGGTTAGTATTCAAAATTCATGTGCAGTTCATATTCTGACCATAATATGGTGCCAGTACAAACTCTTCTCGCAAGTAACACACACATAACACACGAGTAGCTAAACAGAAAAGATGGTGGGTTCGAGTCAGCACGGTGCTCCTGGCAGTGCTCGAGGGTGCCAAAAGATCCCTGAAGAATGGGAACATTTTCAAAATGTCAGTAGCGACAATGTTGTGCAAAAATTCAAATAATCGGGAAAAAAATTCAATTGAATATTCAAAGGTGAAAATAGCTGGTAGTTGCATCGCTAGACATTAATAAGACAGGTGACTGATGCGTGGGCACATTGCTTGGATGCAGGTACCGCTTGTGGGTGGACTCCTGCGCTGAGATGTTCGGAGGTCTGGACATCTGCGCGGTGAAAGCCGTCCATGGGAAAGACGGCAAGGACTACATCATCGAGGTCTGTTTGCTTTCTCCTCAAAGTCTATATTTAGTCCGGTGTAGATGTGCGGTTCGAGCTGGCTGATTCCCGTGGTCTCCTACGTTACCTGCATGTCATCCCATTCTGACATCGACATGCCGTGCTACCTGCTGATCCACTGTGCCCCCTATCTGTAGTCTTATGAACTACATGCCATGGTCTCATTGTATATTTCATTATAGGAAGGGCTCAGTGGATAGAACCACATAATGTGGGTATTTAATAGGATATCGGCCAGAATTGGGCCACAGCAGGGGAACATGCAACGGAGGGAAAAGGAAATATGGTCAAAAGAACTATCGATATAGAACTATCGATGCAGAACTATTGATATACAGCCACACCAGCCCCTAAACACACACACACACAAAGGGACATGCCCAATAAGATACACAGATGTGCGTCACTGGCTCTCTCACTACAACAGCTGGCAAAACTTTTTGGTTTGTGTTGTTGGGAGTAACAGAAAACACATGAGATATATAAACAAAACTCTGGGAATGAAAGATAACTGCAACAATGCAGATAATAGCCCTGTCTCAGCCCCTACTCACATTCATCTTAGTGACGATGTTCTGTGTTTGTGAAATCTCCCATACAGAACAAATAAATGCTTAGGTTTTATGTGAACCCTGCACTTAAATCTTTCTCAAACACAATAAAATTGACTGTGTGTAGCTCTAAAGTCCAGCTGTATGCTCAGTATTGCTGATCAGTGTGTACAGTTTTATGAATGACTTCCTCCCTTATTGAGTGTCATGGGTGCTTATATGACAGCAGCATCATTCATATTTATACTGTCCATCCATATTAGAACCACTTAGGCTAGTAAGGGTCACGCGCTGGATGGGATGTCAGTCCATTAGAGGACAGAGCAAAGGCACGATGGATAAATCAGAGACTTCAGTAAACCTGAGTGTCTTTGGGATACCAGAAGAAACCCCACATGATATGGGGAGAACACACAAACAGCAAACAGATTCGAACCCGCAACCCTAGAGGGTGAGGCAGTAGTCCTTTCCACTAAGCTACCGTGCCACCTTGCGCTTGGCTCATTTCTCCAATATTCATGACCACTTACCACACAGGCAGCATGGAGCACTGTAGCTTAAATCAGTAAGAGGATGTGGAAGCCCTGCAATGTAATTCCTGCCGAAATACTTTTACAAGCTTGGCCTTAATTAGTTATGAATTCAGGTATTCAGGCAATAGTTTGGACAGATCTGGTCCCTAGACAGTAACATTACCTACAGCAATACCTGACTGGGGTCTGACTGGCTCAGTTTTATAAAATCAAAAAACTTGAGTAGACAGGGTGTGTGTGTGTGCAGGTCAGCTGTGGGCAAAAAAAGATCAGACATGACCACAGAAGTCATTCATATGTTGACAGAAAACCGAGATCAAATAATGCCTCAATTGAAAGACTGAATGTGTATCCAAATGAGATCCCTAAATTCATATCCAAATGGGATCCCTGAATGTGTATCCAAATGAGATCCCTAAATTCATATCCAAATGGGATCCCTGAATGTGTATCCAAATGAGATCCCTAAATTCATATCCAAATGGGATCCCTGAATGTGTATCCAAATGAGATCCCTAAATTCATATCCAAATGGGATCCCTGAATGTGTATCCAAACGAGGAAACCTCACAAGAACACAGGGAGAACATGCAATCTCAACACACATGGAGCCATGGCAGAGACTCTTACCCGGGTCCCAGAGGTGTGAGGCAGCAGTGCTAACCGCCCTGACTTGTACTTAACAGGTACATTGGTACTATATCGCACATTACGGGTCATTAAGTGATGATGTCATGTTTACAGTACGCCACAACCCTGAACTGGCTAAGTGGTATGGGATGGATGGATTGATTGATGTATTGATTTACACTATGTGTACATACTGTGGTCCATCTCTGACCACATCTAACTTGCATATAATTTTCTACATATAAAGTACAACTTTGTCATACATGGGCTTAGGAATCTGGAGGTTGGACGGGGGAACCCATGTACCCCCCAATATTTAATTTGCATTCTTCCCCTCAATAAACAGACCTCTGTGATTAAATAATTTAGCAGGGCACCCTTCCCCCCCCACTGTGTCAATCTTTCTACTACTCTGTTGTAGTCATATACAGTACTGTGTTTTTGAAAAGCACACCCAGTCATTGCTGTCAATAAATACATGCCCAATATTTCCCTCTAGTGGCCATACTGCAGCAATGCCATAAAAATAAAAAAGATGGCTGAAAACACACTAAAGGAAACTTTTGTTGAATTTCTGTACTATTCATTCCCTAACTGCAACATTTTTGCTTCATTGCGACTACATTATCCTGCCAGGGTGTGCTCATGTCTCGTACCCTATGTTGTCTGGGTTTCGGTTACACACCTGACCAGGGGTCACCAACATGGTGCCCGCAGGCACCAGGATGCCCCCAAGGACCACATGAGTCGCCCGTGGACCTGTTCTAAAAATAGCATGACTCACCAGTGAGCGGCATCTAAAATTTTATCCTGTTGCTATTCTTCTTTAATCACATTTGCATTTATATAGATTTGAAATTGACAATGTCTAAAAAAACCATTTAAAACACGTTTATTATATATGAAGTTTAAAACTGGCAGCCCTTGGTATGGCTCAGTACCTGTGAAGTAGCTCTCAGTTTCAAAAAGGCTGGTGATCCCTGCACCTGACCCTGTAGCAGATCAGCAGTTTTTAGGACGTATGCATTGTTACAACATTATTACAATGAATGCATTTTCATTTCTTGCGCTATTTAGATATTACTGTCAGACTGTTCATTAATAGGAAGACTGCATTCTTTTCTAGCTAATTAGCTTTGCACTTTATTAATTTAGCAGTTGCTTTTATTGAGAAAGCAGGGTCAGTTGACCCCTAGAGCAGTTGGGCATTAAGGGCCTCGCCAACCCTGGGATTTAAACCAACAACATTCTGATCACAACCCCAGTGTCTGTGACTCACTGAGCCACACATGCCCTCATAGTCAGCTACATAGTGTCCCTGGATCACCCACAGTGTTTTATATGACGTCCCATGGACTGGTGTCGTGTTTAGGGTGTACCCCTGTGTGCCTGTGCTGCTTGGGATTGGCTCCAGGCCCCCCCTGGCCAGGATATGTGGTTGCAAGAGGAGGTTAAAAACTATTTCAGACTGCAGGGAACCAGAAAAGTCAACTGTACTTGTGAATAATGCATAAACAATAACTCATGAAAGAGTAGCGATGCTAAGCTGTAATTTAAGCAATGTGTGTCTGCAAATAATGGATGATTAATGGAACTTGGAAGAGGAACACTCAGATTTTAGGGTAATAGATGGCATACTGTTATAGGATGGGATAAGTAGAAAAAAAGTTTCCAGTTCCAGGTCCAAGACGGACCCGGCTGCTGTAGCCATGAGCAAATCGCTCAACCCAAATCGCTTCTATTAAACATCCACATGACAAACGGATAACAAAATATCCTGCCCTTGTGTCTAGGTGATGGACAGCTCCATGCCATTGGTAGGGGAGCACGTGGAGGAGGACAGACAACTGATCGCGGAGCTGGTGGTCAACAAAATGGCCGCCCTGTTGACGGACTCCTCGTCATCACCTCTGGCCTCAGCCAAGGTCTCCGCCTTCACCTCCTCATTGTCATGCGTCCCGGGTGCCTTACAGGGGAAGCAGCTTTGCCAAGACCCACAGAGATAAGATTAAGTTATCTATGGCATATTTACTCATGGGCATGAGAATGACGCTCACCAAAAGGGGGCGTCACGCACATAACGAACCATCAAGTGTGGCTGGATTAATTTATCAGGAAACGTTACAGCAGGCATATTATCTCATTTAGAGATAAAGATAACTGGCGACGGCTGCTTTGAGCTAAATTCAGCCTTTGTGGAAATCAGCTTGTAGGAAGATGAGGTTTGATGTCATTCTCAAGTGCAATGGTCACGTGTCTCCTCCAGGGCCAGGTACCACAGACGACCCAGCCCAGAAGAGCCCAAGGTAAGCTGCCAATGCTCTACCTCCAGCTGAACCTAGCCACACGGGTCCCTTAGACAGGAAGCTCCCACAAACACCACCTGACTCCCGTCAGAAGAATGCATGGAGGGAGCCGTCTTGGAAAGAGGTTGTTGAGTGTTATCAAAACCTTGGAGACTCCTGAACTGGAAAATTTGCTGCTGTAACAGACAAAACATCTGGCTGTGTGATAGTGGATATATTGTCCTCGGAAATGAATATAAAACTTCCCAAAAGGCCATCGCATAATGACTTAGAAACAGCCAGAGATGGTAGATGTTTTCTGTTGGGAAATTAGTTAGCTGAATCATTAAAATTGTTTAGTCAAATGGAATGATTTTATAAATCTGGTTTACTAAGTCTGTGATAACCCTTAAAGCAGTTTTAGATACTGTAGAAAAGGGTAAATGCTTTGCGTTTTGGCAAAGATGTAACCATCTGAGATCGTCTGAGGTGTAGCTGTGGTAATAAGCTGGTTATCCGAGTTCTGCTCAAATGCTAAATGCCTGTATAAACGTTGGTACTCTGCAGCTTGTGATGTCACGTTTGCTGCTTCTACATGCTGATGTGTGTCATTTCCTTGCAGGTGCCCTTTGGTCGGCCTCCAGTAACCCTTCACCGTCAGCCCAGGGGTCCCCGAAACGAGCCCGATCTGCAACCACCTCGCCCAGCCAGGCTTTCCAGCCTGGGCTTCTCCCTCCTGCATCAGCCAGCCAGAAGCATTTGCCTCAGCTCAAGTATGTCACCGGTTTCTCATGGTTACTGTAGGATCATTTATTTTCATAAATGAAATCGCTTTTTTTAAATAGAATTCACAGCATGGCTGGCTGCCTTTGGGCAAAGCACTTGAAGTACTTGCTGGATGCGACTGTGAAAGATTAAATGAAACCATTTAACTACCTGAAAATCAATCTCATATAGCAGGGATTTTGACGGCTTTTGGAAAACAGCCAGCCTTGTCTGCCAAAGCACAGAAATATTGTATCAATCGATTACACTTTTTTTTTTTTGTTTTTTTTGCAACAATATTGCCCCATTCATTATATTACACTCTAGGAGATCACGTTGACATGGTTTTGAGTGTCATACATATCATCTGCTCTTTCAGCAGTTCTTACTACGTTTGTTTATGCTAACATCATAAATGTGCTCTGTCAATCTATTGGTGGTTTGAAAAGAATGACCCCCCACCCTGCCTGTCGTTCTCCCAGTAAGTCCCGGTCCCTCACCAACACCCTCAACACCCGGGACTTGCTCCACGACAGCACCACCGAGGACGAGGCCAAGGCCGAGACCATCCGCAGCCTCAGGCAGTCCTTCGCCAGCCTCTTCTCCGACTAGCTCTGCCATCACCGTGGTTACCGGCCATGTCAGCTCCCCCCCCCCGGTCTGAGCATGGCCACCCTTCCTTGACAAGACGGAATACCAAGCGGAGACATACCTTTATGCTTCCTGTTCAGCTCTTCCCCACACAATTTTGACTCTTATTAACATTTTTATTGGCAATATTGACATTTTTCCGATGTTTTCATCATATGACAATTTCATACATTAATGTAAATAAACTCTTTGCAGCCACACTCTGTAGTAAATGCAAATGCAATACATGGGAGGGGGTTTTACAACTGTGCTAAAGAACTGAGTAATATTTCAGCAAATAATAAATGATGTTGTGAGGATTTTTTTAAATAAGGCAAAATCACGGTTTGAACGTGTTTCACGAACTGGACAGGCGTTTACTGCTTCTCTAGGGTTCAAATGCTGGTATTTAACCTCTGACCCACTCCAGATCTACATTTTCTGTACCGCTAATCGGTTTAATCAACTTCAAATTCTTCCATACAATTTTTCATTGCAGTTAAATATTCAATTTTTGAAACAGGTTATTTGTAATAGATACTCAAGTTTTATCATGAATAAATCTACAAGTTTTTTACATTTCAGTGTGATGAAATGGTAATCACTTGTTGAGCACTAAAACTGAAAAAGTCACTCAATGTTTTATGCAATGTCAATTGGTCCTAGCCTCTTTGACAACATTTGTACTCAAACCTTTTTTATCGTCACATAATGAAAGGTGGACGCGCTTAACTCTAATAATCTTTCGACTGGCATGCTGTTCACTTCACTGTAACTGCACTGTACTGACTGCACTATACACTGCAAAAGCCATAAGGTCACTGGCTGTCTAAGGCCTGATCAGACACATACTCATTGCTGTACGTACCACGTACTCCTACTCTGATCATGAGTCATAATGAACTATGTATAACATGTAAACACAGGCATTAAGAGATATATCCTGGTTTTGAGATATATCAAGTTAATGCCTAACATGACGTTTTGTGTTGATGGGGTGCTAAGTAAGAGAGACATTTATCAGTATTTATTTCTTTGTATTTTATATATTTGTATAAATGGAATTCTGAATGCATTTATGTATACTTCTGTAGTGTTTGTGGCTTTGACATTTAATATTGACACATGATATTTAACATAGTATCTATAAAATATGGTAGTACAGATTTCACATCAACCCACTACACTGGCCAATATGGATAGATGATTAATTTGGAGATTTCAGCCAAGCCTTTATCACAGTTACAGTTCTCAAAGAGTTTCTGAGCCATAAAATGTGCTGTAATGTTGAAAATATAGCAGAATGATGAAAGAAATTCCAGAAAATCAACTGGCTTCAGCAGTGTTACCTAAAATCACACAATATAAATATAAAATCCTGCAAATTAAAGCTTTTACAGATTCACCTTTGTAACCTGTAATTGGTTTTCAGTGTTTTGATTTTATTGGTTTGTAATTTGTTCATCAATTAACTGAGGCTGGCAGGACCTTCTTTTCTTGAATCGATTAGACTCCCCTGTATCAACTCATCCTGTGCGATTGCATCTGTCTAAGCTACTGTGAGCTGGTGTATATTTAGGACCACATTTTCACCTAAGTGTGGCATGACTGCTACTTCTGCTGTCTGTAAGATCATCATTAACTTTTCGAGTAAATGTTTGGTGTGTGCCTTGCTCCGTGTACATAAGTGTAACCATAGCGATTTGATTAAAAGGTGTCATTTTTAAAATGACTGTTGTTGAATATACCTGTGGGGATTTTTCTTACATAACAGCTTAGTAATACAGCTAGTAACTGATTTCAGATATGGGGGGTCTGATTCTTTTATACCAATAACTACTATTGCCAAATTTCATCGTAGGCATGTGTGTTTGTGTGTGGTGGGCCAAAGTGTGTATGGACAACAATCCAGGGCTGGTTTTTAATCAACCAGTGCTGCACTGATACTAATACACCTTGTAATATCACACTCAAGTATACTTTTGACCAATATGCCAGCAGACAATTATGCACAAATATAAAAATGTCGTCGTCCCTTTGCTATCACTAGTTGATCCAAAATGTATAATTAACACTTGTTGACTAAAATCAGATATATTGATTGTAGTCTAGCAGTGCCGTATAAAATAGCTTTGATTTGACTGGTGAAACAGCTCCTCTGTATTTTCCATTTAAGGTCATTGTTGTGAGGTCTTTTGCCCACAGCCGGATGGTGTTTGTTTGTAATCCTGAATTCCTTTCGTTTGGAACAGCAGTTTATTTGAACTGGCTCTGGGCTGACATCTGGGAGAATGGAAATTGTAATATGCTGGATCTAGTCCACGCCTGACTGTTTCTCCCCCTGGTGGGCTTCACATACTTGAAAATGGGGTAAACTTTGAGTTGAGGAATGAGTGATTCTCGTTGTCCAAGGCTAGCTGAGTGGGGACAGCAGAGCAGGACTGCTGGACAAGGGGAAGTGAGTCATTCAGTTGATAGTCACCTTGCCCAGAAACTATGGGTACATAAAAAAAAAAAAAACTTCTTTAGTAGTTTGTTTTGTCTGAGGAGAATTGAAACCGACATCATGACTGCCGATTATAAAATATTTTTATTTTATTGTGACTGTCTCCTAGAAGGCTACACATGAAAGCAGCCCATCCACTCCTCAGGAGCACAATACAAGTCTCTTGGCAGGTTTCTCAGCATTAAAAGGCAGCCCAAGTGCACTGTGGGAAAAGGGGCAGCTGTTTTTTGTTGCATTTCATTCAAAAATCATAACCAGTCATTATGTGTGCCGTCTGACATTTGACTGGCTTTGTCAGGTGACATTCTTCATCATTCCAGCGGCCATTTTTCTCTCGGACTACATTCATGACATCATGCACCTTGGCTCTCTGACACAGAGTGCACTGGAAGGTTATTCAAAAATCCTACAGCGCTGTGGGCATAGACCCTGATCTACACTGTCAGAAAAAAGAGTACCAATTTGTACCTTTGCTGTCACTGAGTAACATTTTTGTATCGTTGGGGGTACATTAACATTGTTTATACCTTTGACATGTTCCTCAGAGTCGATATTGGTACATTAAACGGTTCACTTTCAGCTACGGTATAGGCAAACCCTTGAAGGTACAGCCCTAGTGACAAGCAAAGGTATAAAGCCTTTTTTTGGTACCATTTTTTCTAACAGTGTAGTGTGGGACACAAATGCCACTCAACCTTTGAAATTCACAAATCAACTTATAGACAAAATTATAACTCTGTTCTCTTTCTCTCGCCACATTTTATCTGTGGTTTACTGTGCAATGCGAACTCCCCTCAGTTGTAGGTCACTGGAGAAAATTTTTTCTTTTTTTTTGTAATTGTCATGGTCAAGGTGCACAGCGACGTCATCATCTATATCTGTATTCGGATACTGGACCGGAAGTGGGTGTGGTTTATATTTGTATTTTCTAACCTAATATTCATTGGCAATACAATTATTGTGCCTTAACTAACTTTTATGAATTGTCTGAACCATCCCCCCCTTCAACCAGGGGACACTGAACAATCAGAAGCTGAAAAAAAAAATTTATAAATCAAAAGATTCTGTTTAACATAGGAAATACAAACAATTTACATTAAACATATACAGAAAAATATCCTTCAATTGAAGGGAATAATCTTACATGATGGGGCATTTGCATTTGTTGATGTTAACGTTAATACAATTCACTAAATATATGAATTACTACTGTATAACTGTAATTACATAACAGCAACACAGCGTCACGTCGCAGGCAAGGACAGAGGCATGCATCGGGGGAAATCCAAAGGGGCTTTACTAAAAGAAACCATAACACAAATCAAAGCACCACGAGGGGTCAAATGGGGAGATGAGGATCGGGCAGGAATACAAGGCACAGGACACAGGAGCACAAGCAGGTAGTAACATTAATGCCTGGACTGGGGAGCTCAAGAAAGGGAGGAGATTTATACATCACTAATGAGGGAGCAGGTGAGGGGCAGCTGGAGTGAGTCACATGACAGCTGAAATGAGAGGTAGGACAAATTAGCAAATGGGGAAAGAACAAGGGGGCAGAGATGCAGGGACATGACACACAAGACAAAACCAGTTTTTTTTTTTCAATGTTTCGACTGTTTTTTTATGGAAGGAATTAACACATAGCTAATCAATACATACAGCAAATATGATGTATAGGTTTAGGGGATTGGGTTTGTATTGGAGTTTCAGCTCTCAGCCTGCTGCCTCTTGTGCGCTAGCTTGGTGGGCCGACTACACTACATAACATTCTCTTTTAAATAATTTGTAACAAATTAAATCACTAGTTAGTGGAATCAAAGTCCTGTGTTTCAAACAGAATGGGCATTTATATCTTGTGTCCATCCACAATGATATGAATCGATTTGAAGGAACATTGACATGTCAGTCGTGGAGTTGATTTTTCCCAAATAAGAACGTGACACTTTGGGTAGAACAAATATCTGTTTACAACACATTATCAGTGTGTTTCTCAATAATGCCTTTGTCTCCGGTGCATCCCTAATGGTTACCTAGTTTTTGTCATACCAACAGCTCCAGAGAATCTTGAACTGGGACAGGCAGCACTAACAGTCCAAAGAGCAATTCAGCTAACTCCCACTCCCCCAGCAAAGGAGCCCCGGCTGTCATGACCTGCACGTACGATCCTTGTGTGTGCCACGCCCCCTGATCCTTGTGTGTGCCACGCCCCCTGATCCTCGTGTGTGCCACGCCCCCTGATCCTCGTGTGTGCCACGCCCCCTGATCCTCGTGTGTGCCACGCCCCCTGATCCTCATGTGTGCCACGCCCCCTGATCAACCACGTGTGCTCCCCTGATTGTGCCCAGCTGTTTTCCATCAGTCTGATATGTTCTGTGTATTTAGTCTGCGTCTGAAACCCCCAGGTCTGTCATTGATGTTGTTTATCATGCTTCACCCTGCCCTGTCATTTTGTGGAATGAAACCCCTACTTCGCTGCCTTCCTGCCCGCCGGGCGATCATAACACCGGCATTGCCGACAGTCCAAAGAGCACTTTAGGTAACTCCCACTCCCCCAGCAAAGGAGCCTCGGCATTGTTCTGAGGGATTTTACACACACAGGTGTATCAGGGAGTAAGTTTTTATAAGTTACACTGGGGTTACAACCATAGTGTGCAGGAGAACAGTTATTGCAACTCATAGTGTGCAATTGTTTGAATCGATATCTACACTCATGGTGACCCTGTATTGACTTTATAGCTTTATAGATAGATATAAGACTTTCATTTACCATCTATACATGTATGAGTACAGGAACAATTCTTCAGTTTTCTCATATCCATCTTTGCGCTCCTATGAGACACATATACAAGGGATCATGTGCTACAAATTGACAGAATTTGCTATGCATTTTAAATGTGGTTTAGAGCTTCTCCAAGATAATGTATAGTTCCACTATGAAGTTATCATGAAATGGGGACTGCAGGCATTTCTCAATTTTAGGTCCTGGTGTAATTCTCTTTTCCTGCCACCAGAGTGCATCATAACACCAACACACACACACACACACACACACACACACACACTGGTTTTTGTCTGACATTAAACCAAGAACCAAAATAACTCCCTCTTCTAAACCAAACACTGCTTAATCAACGTAAAATGAATCTTTCTGTCAGTCTGGATCTGTGAAATCCACCAATAAAATGTACCTGTTCCTTTTTAATTTTGATGGACTTCAGTAACTGGTTCTGGTTAGACTTCACCAGCACTCAGGGAGAGCTGGGTGAATTTCAGGTTACCACAGTATAAGGCCAGTTCTTCAGATTGTTCCTGTAAATGAAGTTTCTGTTTTCCATCAAAATAACAATGATAAAATGGGAAAATTTCATCTGAGATAAATTATCATTTTCCCTTCTGAAGCTTTTATGAAAACGAAAAACTTGGAAGACTGAAAGATAGATAGATTAACGGATGGATAATGCAATAAAATAAAAAAATAAAATAAAATTAGCCGATTACCTGTGAAGTCTACCTGTGTGGTTGTTTGCTTAGTGATGATCATCTACTGATTGAGATAAGTTGTTACTGTAATTGAGGTCACTTGGCTGGATTTGTGCTTATTTAAATTCTGAGAATCATGCTTGTAGATAAGACCTGTGGAAGTTATTGGACTGAGGTAAAGCACTTAAACTAAATAGGGTTTTTCTTTACTTCTTCTTCTTTCTTTTTTTTACAAGAAACCACAGTGGCTACAGTTGTTCAAACACACTTTACTGTTTGTTTATCTCCCGTGTCTCTTGCTGAACTGTGGCTGACCTCTTAAGTTATGCAAATTTTCTCCCACTCGCTGGAAAAACATTGTAAAAAAAAAAAAAAATGGGGGAAGGGGGGGGTGTTGAGTTTAGAAGGGATTCCAATCCCACTCCACAATACATTTTTAGGAAAATGGATTCAGTGGGAGGCATAGAAAGAAAAGCAGCTGGATCTGGGTGATCTTTCCGTGACAATTCGTCTCCTGGCTTTTGCCTGCCAATTCTGGAATTAATGAAACCCAGCTGATCCTGATCAGAGTAATTGACTTGTTTTAAAATGGGCTAACTTTTAGTCATTTGTATATTAGCCACATAAAGGTAGCATAGCTGTGTTTTGTTTTCCACAGAAATCTGTTCATATTGTGATCTTGTTCCTGCAACTTCGTTAAATGCTGAACTACTCTCCCCAATTCTGCCATTCTGATAATCAAAGAAAAACAGGAGTAAG